TGCATTATCAAATCTCTCGATCTATCATATAGTTGCATGCCACTAATATAGAGATTTTGTTCAGCTAACTCCTTGATAGTTGTCGCATTTAACGTACATAAATATATTACGTATTTTTTACTTGCTGTCATCACCATTTGGCCTGGAATTGCATATTCTTTAAAAAAACTTTTAAGAAATCATTATCTTCATTTTGGAATAAAAAAGCAAATGACAAAACGACAATCTTCTAAATAAAATCTGTGAACCTTTTAAGGCTAATCTTTTTGAATCATCTTCCATCGATCTCTTCAAACAGGTGATAAAAACGGTATTTTTGAATGCCAAAATCGAATTCATTGTGAGTGGAATCTGAAACATTAAGTAAGAGCGGTTAGCGCTCGCCAATTTTCATCATCTCACATTTAGGTACGCTATACTGGCTGTTAATAAATTAAGGCTTAAGGAAAGGTTTCTACCAGTGAACCACACAGGTTAGTTTCCACACTTCGAACTTTGCCTCTACTGTTTGAACAATAACCACTTGATTGTTTTTCTTCCAGAATATTAGTCAAAGAAAAGTGACACAATGTTTGCCTTGTTTTACTGAATTTTTTAGAAATTATGGAATCAAATTTCAAATTGATTTCCATATAAGAATTCTATGTTTTTATAATTACCTCAGGATGGATGAGGTCGAGCAGATCCTCTAAAGCTGTTCGCTGAAGTTTAATCCATGGACAAAGTCTCCTGATATGGTTGCCTGAAAGAACTTTCTTCAAACTAATTTTATTGTTTTTTAGAGGTTCCGTTGTTCTATATTTATTTATTTTATGTCATATTATTTAACAGTCTTTTGATTTAGGTGATTTAAATAAAAAGAAATATAATCATATCATTGCCTTTGTCCTTTTCCTCCAGGATTTTTTTCGTTTAGCTGGATCTTTAGATATTTGAACCTCATCCTCTGGTGCTATTAGGTTTATTGCTATCGAAGGCATAGGAAATTTTCGTCAAATAATTAATTAGAGATAGGTCTCAACGCGTTATGAAATTATCTCGAGCAATTTATGAGAAAAAAATTTCATTAGCCTTCATTTGATACCGGTCAAAAATTGTCTTTTAAACTCACCAACGTGTTCCAAAATGAGATGTCTGTCGAAACATATGTGAAAAGGAAATACACTGCAGAAATCTTTCAACGATAATCCACAAAATTCCTTAAATTTTTTAAATATTTATAGTAAAATTTTTTAAACAATAATTTTTAATATTATATTTCGATATTATAAAAAACCATTTCAAATTTTTGTAAAAAAATGCAATTTTTCCGGTAAAATAAGAAATTTTCCAGTTTTGGTGGGACATTTTATTTCAAATCTTAGATTATTTCTTACGTTTTCCGGTTATTTTAATTAGCAGAGCAATGTTGGATGATATATTATGCAATTATCATTCGTTCTTTACTTGTTTTTTAAATCAGAAACATTTTTTTAAATACTTATTTAACGTTTAATTTACCCATGGGAAATCAATAATCCAAGCGAAATAATAAATCTTTTTTTCTTGTCCCATATGAAATTGAATAAATCTTATTCGCAGAGAAATTATCAAACATTCCTACAGAACTGTATTCATGTTAATTTTCTATAATTTTCTACAGCTGAAATCCTATTGATTTTAGTACGTAAATGATTGGCACTCATCATTCTTGGCTATTGGCTAGGTCTATTCCACTGGCCATTAGCACTATTAGAAATTTCACCACTCATTTTAGATTATTTAGTAATTAATATAAATGGCGATGCATTGTCGCTCAAATTTTTTAATAATAAGGGTACTCCAGGAGATTGAAGCTGAAATTTCTGGATAATCGCGAAATTTTAAAGTTTCACTATTCCTGACTATTTCTACAAATCAGGATGAAATTTTTTCTGAAAATTTATAAGCATTTATTTTTCACGAAATAATACTGAAAAAGTTTTGGAACTTTTTAAAGACTTACACTCATCAAATCCGGTTTTAAATCGGCCGTTACTCTGCTTGTCACTGATTGTCCAATGTCTAGCATATTTTCTGACTGTATTATTAATAATAAGATTATTTTGAAGGATTTATTAGATTTAATTCGATGCATTTTGGGCACATTTTAAGAATAGTAATATAAGTTTTTTCCAAGGATTTTTCTACTTCTTACCAGTGAAGATATACCGATTAAGAAATTAAAAGGCCCTTTAGATGGAACCTTGAAACAATTGAAAAGGCTTAGTTATTTGTTTTACATATACTTATATTATTATAGATGTTTGCTTTACTATAATTGAATCAGAAACAACAAAAAATTGCAGAATTTTATTCCCCGAGCATCTCAATCTGTAATTTGCATTCCCAGATTTGCAACATTTTTTGGCAGAAAAATTCAATGAATCTATCTTTGAAGATAAAAGACCAACAAGGTGTGGCCATCAGCTACTTGGAACTAGCTAGCATAAATTGAGATTGGTTCATCCTTATTTCATATTGTAAAATCATACGAACCTTGAATTTTCAAACTCATTCAGACTATTTGTACCAAAAAATATCCATTTTTTCACAGTTTAATACGTTGATATGTAATACTTCATTTTTCTGGCTCTCAGACCAATTCTATGCCAACGCCATTAATTTAATACTTCCTAAATCCAAATTAAACTTCTTCTTCAACGTGTTAAGATAAACTCACCTGCTTAACCAGAAAAATAACGTGATCATTAATAAGATTCCCGAATTTTTCTTGTCTTCTGTCAACAACTTTCATTACTATTTCCAACTTATATATAACTCTGGCAACCTCACGAACAACTCCTCAAAATTTGGTAAGTTTAGTTTGCTGATAAGTGGGAGAAGCCAGTGATATTATATTAATTCAATTTTAAGAAAATTCTGACTGTCCAATTTCAAAAAATCTCAGAAATTCTCTTCAGAAATTTCAGAAATAACAACAATAAAAATTGCATATTTTGAACATAAATTGATATTTTAGTCCTCCAAATTTCATATTGGTAACTGGTTTTTATGATTTTGGAATAAAGGAAGGACAAAAAAAGAGATAAATTATCTTGGTAAATAAGAGGTTAATGTCTGGTTATGCTTATTTCGCTGAATAATGGAATAATGAAATCAAGGAATCATTTTGGAGGCATAAATAGGGATGTATTCTCAACGTTAGAATTTTTTGATTCGTTATTTGATCAAAATTTTAAACAAGGAAAAACTGCGACAAATTACGAACCTTTAACTATTGGATACAGCCCAAGGCGTCTAGAATAATAATGTAATAAAAGTGATCCTTCCGAAATCTGTTCACTTCTAAATGATGGTCCTTTCAGTCTTTCATGATATAACTGGTTATTGATGAAATAATGTAGTGAATCAAGTCCATCAATAAACTCCTGTGAAAAAAATTAAAAAGAGGACGAGTTTTAAGGAAATAAGACTATAATAACTCTTAGAAATTCACAACAAATTGTCGCATTTATTTAATTTTTGCAAAATATCATATCAGTTATTGAGGATCAAGCAATATTAAGGCATTAGCTAGTATATTAACAATGTGCACTGGTGTGAACGGTGTGAACAGGCTTAGTGGAAAAGATTCGACATAAGTGGAAAAGGAACCAACAGATCCATACAAATAATTGATAGCTGAGGAAATAGAGTAAGAAAAAGTTTATAATAAGGCAATATGACTGTAATCGCTGGCATCTTAAAAAAGCAGTGATAAAAAGTTCCGTAGACAAAGATAGTTGGAAGCTAGCAGACCTCAAAGAAACTTCTGCCTTCGCCATTCTGCTAGAATTTCTGGTGGTATTAGGTCACCACTTCTCCAATTTGATTTTTTTTATTACTAGATAATTTACCTCTAATGTAGATGCCATAGCTCGAAGTAAATCATCCCAACCTGTTTGCATTGTGTAATGTATTAGAAAACCACCATATGCCTCCCAAACCTCATCCACAGTCGAACCTATAAATTTGTAATTTTCTTGCATCATGAAAATTTAGAGGAAATTTAGAGGCGTTTAATACTTGGTGACCTAAATTTAGATTTAGATTTGGAACTGTTTACCAATTACAGTCGCAACAGCTCCTGCTAGTCTAAAAGTTTCTTCATCATCGTAATAGTGTTGTATGTAGCATTCATCGCCTTCCTTATATTTCGCCAATTCTCTAAAATAAATTAGACTTGGATCTATGGCCACAAATTTAATATTAAAATTTTTTGCAATAATTTGCATCTTGGCTATTAATTTTGAAATTAATTTTGCTCAAATGATCGAACCGAAATAGATTTATGCATTCCACTGGTATCAAGAACATTTCTAGTCAGCTCACATTTCTAGTCAGTGAAGGTAAATCATTTCTGCTCAGTCTCTTTCAACTGGTTGTACAATGAGAAATTTTTGCCAATGAGTGAATTGGGACAAAATGATCATTAGCACTATCCAGATTTTCTTACTTCTAACGCCGAGCTTACTTCTGCCTGAGGCGGAACTCGAACCCTAATGCTGTAGACAATTTAAGCTGCGATTCCCTGACTATTGTGCCTATCGGCATTAAATACCCAATTATTAAGTTGTCATTTAAATTAGTGCTTACAAGATATTAAGCCAGATTGGCCTTCCATACTTCCGAGTAATCAACTGTCGAAAACTCTCATGAATCCATCCGAACTGCAAATTTTTTGTTTTTGGAAAATAACTGAATAAGACTGATGAAATGATCAAATAAAAAATTCACTGATAATTCGCTTTCTAATTTGATAAACAATAAGCGAAAAAGAATATAACAAATTTTACCATTGATATATATGAATAATAAGTGAATAGTAAGCGAATAACAGTGAAAAATGATTGTGATAAGCCGAAATATTTTATAAATATTAAATATTAGTTAAAAATTTGCATGCTTTTTCGAGAATTTAATATATTTGAAAGGAAATCTTTATGAATATTTATGCATCAATTCACTTAATATTTTTTAACCTTTAAAAAAAAATGTTTTTTAAGAAAAAAAATTTTATTTCAAAAAAAAAAAATTGAGATTTTTGCATAAATATGGTAATAAATGACTCGCTATGTTAAACCATTTTTTCTTCTTCTAATGACATTCACTATTTCTGCTTTCCAACTGCAGTAGCTAAAGTTGCAGCGATAGAGCCATTTAGTGAAAGAGCATTTAGTGTTTATTTACACTCCTACAGTAGAAATAGAAATCATCATACCAGAAAGAAGCAACTGACAAACAGCTTCACCTTATATGACTTCTCTTCGAAGCATTTCTTAAAATCACTTATCATGTTTTAGAAGCAGTTGCTCTGAATATTATATGAAACTTGCGTCTGACTCAGTCTATTATTTCAGTTCAATATAAACAGAATACTAGTCGGTGAGATGCTTTCGTCAGCAAGCCACTCGAAACAGCGAGCAGATCGATCAAATAGCATATCGTTTCGTCTTCGTTCCTTTCTTGTGACATGAATAAAACCTGACATTAGAAGCGAAATCCGAGTGCTGTGAATGATCCATTTATAATTCTCTCTACGAAATGAATATCTTAGAGGCTAAACAAACCAGAAATGATCAACTTAAAAGCGCGAAAAAATTGTAATGTGGAGATTTCACTTTCGTCATTATTATCGCCCGAATGATCTGTGATTATTATCATTATTCCATCTAATCGAGTTAGGCTGCCATAGAGTATCATAATTGATAAAGTTTTACTGATTTGTTAACAAGTTGTTAATTTTATTTCGCTTCAATCCTAATTTTCGTCAATGGATTTCTCTTTTTTAATTAATCTGCCACTGATAGCGGTTTAATTATTTAATTTCCCGATCATTCATTCCGGACTTTATGCAGAAGTACCAACAATTTTTATATTCGTTCGCAGATCATCAATTATTTAAATAGTCGAAAATGTAGAAAATGAACAAAATCTTGGTTATCTTTGGAAAAAAGAGGAAATATCTGTCGAGGTTTCCGGGTGATGCTGGCGATTCACCTGTATTTCTATCGCTAAGAAACTCCCTGGCCCAATGCGACAAGCCAGTGGAGTGAGTTTGACCAGTAATGGTGAGGACTCTTAAAAAAAAAAAATTTGTCGAAGGTTAAAGGTTCTTGCCCCAATTAGTTCCATTTATATTCATTTTGATGGAATGGCATTCTTTCATATTTGCTGCTTCCCTAAAAAAATTTTTTTTTTTTGGATCCCATTTAAACTAATGATTACCTTCTTTTATGTGTGCAAGTGATTGACTGCCAGTAGCTCTTCACTTTAAGCTAATGAACCATCAGTTGTAGACCAAACAAATTATTGTTCGCATAAAATTAGTCTAACGGCATGTTTATCTCACTTCCATCTTATCATTTCATATTTGCTTGAGCAGCACAGTCTGATTCAAAAAAAGGTAGATAATTTAATTCGTTGCTAGGGCTTCGTTTTTTTTCGCTTAACTTCATTCATGTTCCTTTTTACTTCGTTTGTCTTGAAAATTTTTGGAATGTTGGTAAAATTGATGCTAAGAGGAGGTTTCTTAAAAAAAACTAAAAACATTTGGTGAGAGTTTTGTCATTAAAAAAATCCAAGTGATACTGGTTGCAATTTTACCCTGCAATTGTTTCTCTGCCAGAATTATTTCATCTTATCAGTACTCAACAGGTTAGCTCAACCAGAAACAATAAGTGTCAACCACTTAGCTTTAGTGCGATCAATGTAAGAACAAAAGGATCGCGTAATGATTCGATGAATTTCATAGAATAGAATAATTCATCAACAGTTAGTATTAAAATAATTTTACTTCGGTGCATCAAATGGGAATGTAAGGCAATATGAAATCGAAAGACAATATACGAAATAAATTCATTAATCTTATCATTGTAAATTTATGTAGGAATTTTTCATTTACTTTTAACTTTAATTTAATTATAATGATTCTTATCTTTTTAAGAATTTTCATCAGATTTTCCAGAAAATTCTCCGTGAAAAACCAGTTTGGTCAGAGTAATTTTATTGCTTAGCTGGTAGAAGGTGAGTTTTCGTCCCACAGTGAAAATAAACTTCATCATTAAAAATGAAATGGAACAAAATGATAAGAAATATTGACGCTTTCAAAAAAATATCATTGAGAACAATTAGAAATTTGGTATTTTAACATATTTCTAAATAAATTGGTACCGAAATGCAGTCTTTTAGCGTTTGGCTATATAAAAACTTTATGGATTCAATTTTTTATTTTCATATTTTTATGCCATTTATGTGGCGAACCTTTGTTTCGTTTTTCACTAAATTTTTCTTGCGTTTCTCTTTTGCTTAATTTTCTTCTTGCACATTCATTTTTTGGTCCATTTGTTCAGAGTGATGGTGTATATCATTTTCACGCATATTAATAATAATTTGGTAAAACAAATTAATATTAATATATCTTGACAGGCGCAAATCAGATTTTATTAAAAGCCAAATCCGAGTGTTGCTCTTTCCTAGTTAGTTAGGATCGTTCCGCTGGCTTGTTGGACCAAACAAATTTAGTGTGCGAGTTACTTAGCGATAGGAGTGTAGGCGCAAGCTTTCAAAAGACAGGCTTACCCATGCCAGAACCACATCATGGTCGCCTACGAAATAGGAGTAACAACCCACTGAACCATTCTATCGCTTCGTTCTGCCTGGAACCAAAAGATTGTTAAGTCGAAAGAATTTCATCAACATCATTCTAATGCCGTCCTATATTTTGTTGATTTGACAATGCTGACTTAGAATGATTTATAAAAGTCCTTCTAATCATCTTTTATTAAAAAATCCGCGAATCGAATTAAAAGGATTAATTAAGACGGAGAGAGAGATTTTCGCTTTAGCTAAGAAATATTCTCAGCTATCGTTTTCAGCAAAATTCATTTCGTTTTCTTGAATTGCTCCTATAAAGCAATATTTGTTGAAATTTTTTTGGAAATTTTAATTATTTTATTTAAATTCATTTTTCACATTTCTCATAATTCTTTATGTTGATAAAACGCAAAAATGCAATAGTCGCTAGCGTGTGAAAAAATAATAATTCATTTTTCTTCGAAATTTTCATTTATCTTTAAAAAATCGTCGTGCGTACTGCTTAAGACTCACCAGTGCCTCTAATTCACCATGGGACCTTAATGGTGAATAAGTGGTGAATTTTAATAGCCAATGAAGCTGGCCAAGTCGAAAATGCTGATAGCTAGTAAAATAAAATTTCTAATTGGATATATAATTTCTAATTTATTTTCTTTGGACTTCTTTTTTGCTAAAAATGGAATATTTAATATCCAAAGGAAGCTCAAATTGTTAAATATGCAAATAAGGAACGAAATGAATGAATAGTGCGAAAATAGTTGTTTTGCTTCAATGAACTTTCATATTTCATGTTCATCGATTCTATGAATTGTTGCAAATCGAAATTTAAATCGGCTTAGGTTATAACTATTAGTGGAATGCACTACTGGGATTTATTGATTTCATATACGTTGCCAATTTTGGAATCTAATTTACAATTCTCTTTGTTATAATATTTATGAAATATTTATAATATTTATACAATAAAAACAATAGAAATAATTATTGTTACAAACGTCTTTTAGTAGTATTCTCCATTTCTCGTCTGATAATTCTGATACTCGATATTTCTGGTACTTCATTGGTTTGAGTTCCTTCACCAGACTAGTAACTTAGAAAATCAACAGTGACGTTTGGACTTCACTTTTAATAACAGGCTTAGTACCACGAAATTCTTAGATATATCATCTTAATTTAAAAAAATTTAATTTTTGCGAAATGCATTCCTTTATTTTGTAAATGCAAAAAATGAATTATGGACAATAATGCATGAATTCTTAAAATTTTCTTCATAAATATGACATTTCCATTTATATAATTATTAAAATATTTACGAATATGATAACTTAATTATATATTCTATATTTCTTCTTAATTAGCATTATTATTCACAGAAAAGTATAATGCGCTTCAGTTGCTTTAGCTTTTATATTATCAAATTATCAAATTTTATTCATTATTATTATTATTATTATTATAAGATTATTTATTATTTTATTCATTATTTTTTCTTTTTTCTAACAACATTCACCTTTTTTAGTTCACATAACTTATATATTATTTATAACTCCTTTGATTATTAAAATAAGTCTTTAAGTCAACGAATCATTTGAGAGGATATAAACTGCAGTTGGATTTGCAAGAGAAAATGGATTAACAGGATTTGAATCGAACCTTATGGTAACTTGGCTGGAACTTGGCTGGCCTTAATATAAATAACATAGCACTAAGATCATCCCCTAATATGCTATAATTATGTTTTTATCTTTGAACTAAATATGATAGATTTTATATAAGATTTTATTTACATAATCTTATTTTCTAAAATTTTTTCTTTTGACTTAATTAATTACTTTTCTTGACTACTTTTCCTTCTTAATAGTAGTATTTACTATTTCATAGTAATAGTAATATTCTCTTCTAATCTTTCCTTAGCTCATATTATGGTTATGCTCGCTGTGTTATTCTCGTTTCGCTTTCATACTTAGTTTTTATCTGCATAACTACTGATCTTCTTTATGTTAACTAATTTTTTAACCATTTATTCAAAATGTAAATTTCAGAAAAAATTTCTATTATTAAAAAATTTTTAGGATTTTAAGTGATAATTTTTGTGAAAGTTTTTTTTGATGGAAATTGTCAAAATAAGCATTTTTGGCAAAGGTATATAAAATTGCAGCATTTATTTTATATAATAGCAAATTTTTCGTTAATTAATTCGATT